ATTAAAACTACGGTCTCATTGAACCATAGAGTTTTATTTTTATCATAGAGTAAATTAAAACACCTTTGAGAAGCCACAAAAAATAGGAGAGGCCTATGTCCAGCAGTGGACTGCGATAGGTTGATGATGATGATGATGAAAAGATATTTGTGAAAACTTCAAAACAACCCTAGCTTAGCAATTTGTGCATTAAGGTTCTACCAGAAGGTAATTTTTTTCTAATTATTCACGGCTGTAGTACAAAAACCGCCAGTTTGTGGAAAAAAGACAAAGACGTAGCCCCAAGGGAGACAAGAACGGAGGGTAACGTAATGAATTTTGAAATTTGAATATAGCGGCTTTCGTAAGAAATCAATATTCAAATTGGCGAATCAGAGGTGATCAATTCATGACGAGCAAAAAAGACGTTACATAATATTAAATTTGGAATGTTATTTTTGAAAACGGCTTTTTATGGCGTATAGTTAGCATATTACAGCTTCTAGATTGTCATTGGACAAACTAGCTAAACTACGGGTATAGGGTATAAGGTTATTAAGCCATATTAATAATAACGTTGCCTTTCATACCGGCCGTTATTGAGGAAAATAATGAGCACCTAAGTTCCTGAAAACAGCTTGAGGCTATTTTAATAACAAAAACAATTTATTTGAGGAAAAAAATAAGAGAAAAACATTTTTGTTTACGAAGAGGCTTGAAACGGAATCCATTCTATCATCAAAAGAAACGTCATTCGAAAGTTTAACCTAATTCTAAAACGCTAGGAGTGGAAAAAAATAAGTAACCAATCAGCACCAACGAACGTAAAATCTAATTGGGAGTAGCGCCATCTGAGTGGTCAGAATAAAGAAAGAATATCTTTGCAAGTAAACCCATAGCCGCACAACTTAAATTTAAAAAGGAATATTGATTTTTAATGTAGCTAATGTAATATAGTATTACTGGAGCGTAGGTATATCGTCGGTAGTTAGGGGGAGGGATCCGGGAGCACAGAAAGAAGGATAAGTTTAGCAACATTGACCTGGTCTTAACCTTGTTTAATGTTAATGGTAACCTCATATATGAATCAGCACTAAATTAATTTGAACTTTACCGTAAAAATACCCGTGGTATTTAAAATGACTGCGTGAGTTAAAAAACTTAAAATACAGTGTTTTAGGCTGTCTTTGAGCACAACTGATCTAACTGGAAAAAAAAAGGAAATCGCTTCTTTGGCAAAGATGTCGCTTAGTATACAAATGTAGCCGAATTAAAAAAGTCCGTTAAACATCTGGCAAAGATTGAGATGAGAGAGCGAGTCAATTAGGAATGAGAGGAGGACCTGTCATATTGATCGACGTTGCCGAAGGAGCACTAGAGCACACAGAGCTTTGTTTATTCATACCAAAGACTTTAGTTTTTACTACTAGTTTTTAACGAATGCCTAGTTTTATTGAAAGTACTCACTGAAACTAAAAACCTGACACTTACAAGAAAATAACCGCTTAAACGAAGATTATAAATTTAAGCTTGTAGTTAAATCCTGTGCACGCTTAAAAGTAATTTCAAGTGAGTTTGAAGGTAGGAACAAAATCAGTGCTTCTCAAACACAGTAGTTATTTTTAAAGTCATCAACTGTTGTGCCTACATTCTGATGAATTATCATCATCATCAGCGTATCGCAGCCCACTGACATGGGTCTTTCCCATTGCATGCCACTTAGATCGATTTTGGGCTTCTCGCCTCCGGCTCCTTCAAGCCTTCTTGCGCAAATCGTGAAAAACTAAAAAACTAGTTCTGTTTAGACGTTATAAATGCCATCGACAAAGATTGCCGAACTAAATGAAAATTAAAAATAAAATGTGTAAAACAAATATGAAATTTAAATCACAAATGCTTTCATATTTCAAGCGTTGCAAACTAATTGGTGAATTATAATAAAACTTTATTCTTAATTCCTTAATTTTTACATTTAGGTTTCTACCTAAAGGTAAAAATTAGGTATACCATTTCAATTGAAAAATATGTCTATTATTATCCTGCCGTTGTACAATCTCATCTACTCGGCAAACTTCTCAACTTTCAATATATTGATATCTGGGAGTATTTAATTTAAACTGCCATGGTTTAGTTGAATTAGTTGAGGTCTAACACACGAGCGAAGTTAAATCGATTTTCAAATAACTAAATTGAATGTCGCTCTCGGTAAATATATCGAGGACAGGCATATGACATGATTTTCCTTTCTACTAATTTGCTAGTTATGGCTAGTTTATGTCCCTGCTCTGGTATAAAATTTGTTTATGTACATTTTCAGCCATAGCATGGAATTACGGGTATGCTTCGTCGACCTCAGCAACGACCGTGTGGTGACGGATTAGGAATACGGAGTGTCACTACCCCTATATAAAGGAGCACAACAGCACTGCAAAGAGAAGGAAAACTTGACAGAAATCCTATACTAATCCATCTGGCCAGCGTGGTATGTTGGTAGGCCAAAATCTCCTTCTAAGGAGAAGCCTATGTCTAGCAGTGGACTATTAAAGGCTGTTGATGATGATGATGAACCCAGCTTCTTTGAGCTTCTATCTTCACAGTTTCCCTTAACCTAAGTCTCTTGTTCTATCTGTTTCCTAACCCCAATTTACATTATATTACATTAATACCTTGTCCTTTCCGAAAACGATTACATGCTATAGGAGACATAGCGTGAAGCAAGCTATTAAACACCAGCCAAGAACCTTTTGGGAAGTGACATGATTATAGAAGATACAATATAAAGGAGAAAGTTACTGTTTTCATGTGTATGTTCCATTTTCCTTACCACAAAAAGTTAATGCCTGTTTGTTAAATTCAAAAAGCGACACTGAACACGCGCCAGAAACTAGTTCTGTTTAAACGTTTTAAATTTCATCGAAAAAAGTTGCCAAAGTGAAAATTTGTCTCCTCCTAATACAAATTTACAAATTTAAATCACAAATGTTTTCATATTTCAAGCGTTGCAATTAAAAATATTACCTAAATATTTATATGACTAGAATTTTTCTTTAGTAAGAAAAACACAACAAATACTTTTCATAGCTGTTTGAGACACGTCACACAATATTTGTTGTCTAGGTACGTACACGTACATAGACAGTAAGTAGTAGTAGTGTTTTTTTGTATGCTATTTTTATTATTATCGAGACTAAGTCCAGATTTCCATTGCTTTATTCTTCGTGTATTCAGGTGCTTTTACCAAAATATTTTTCATTAAGTTACATGGCTTATTTTTGTTAAATTATAATTTATCCTAAACTTTCAGTACTCAATGGTTACTTTCAATTCGTTCAAAGAAATGCTAGCATCTATCTTATTCGCGGACAACTTCACCCAGCTAAATTTAAACAAGATAGCAACGTAAAGCCTATTTTAAATGAAAGGATTTGATGAACATATCTGCTTGAGCCCTCTATTTCATTACAGAAACTGTTTACTTTTGAAAATATGTTTAAATTATACGATTTAAAATGGATTTTAAATTAAATTGCTTGGGATAGTGGTGCAACGAGTAAAATGTTTCACACATCAAGTCTTTTTTTTATTTGAAATGAAATGTATGTGACATAATTTTTTCGTCAAGATTGTTTTTATGATTCATTTCATGCCTATCACAAGTTAGCTATTAAAATATCTTTTTTTTTGGCATAAGGGGCAAACGAGCAGACGGGTCACCTGATGGTAAGCAACTACCGCCGCCCATGGACACCTGCAACTCAGAAGTCACAAGTGCGTAGCCGCCCTTGGAGTCCCTCCCGCTCGAGACAGCAGGAGCGGGGATTTGGGCTCCGGTAACCTCACTCACTCAGTGAAAGGCAACGAAAGAATTGCTTAACACCGGTTTTTCTGTGAGGCCGTGGTATCACTCCGGTCGAGCCGGCCCATTCGTGGAGTTAAATATATAAATCTATAATTATCATCATCATCATCATGTGATTTTTTCCGGTGGGTTCTTTTAATTTGGGTTGATTTCTTTTATGGCGTTTCATAATTTTATGTTCTTGGGTTAAGAAACTACTACAAGAATCTGATCCATGCAGAAGCTTTCTTTCGTTTATTAACCATACCTTAAAAATGTAGCCACCTAATGTGATACAAATAACTTATAAAAAAACAATGATATCTTAAGTGTTTTCTCATTCCAAAGCCTAAGAAATGTAGAATGAAAACGTTTCTCTAGAGAACGTTAAGTTTATTCGGACTTCAGAGGAACTCTTAAGTCCTTTAATACTTAAGTGTTTCAAGATTTCGGACGCTCTTATGACAGAAAATGAACAGTGGTAAAAAAAGTACTTTTTAACCCACTTTTTTTTGTTTTCATTTACGATTATTAAGTACGAGAACTGTACAACATATTAAACATTTTTGCAGTTAATTTGTTTATAATATTTTAGAGTACTGTGGATAAGTTTCTCTTAGACAGACGTATCCTTGGTCTTCAAGGTTACTTTACATCAGGTGAGTTGGAAGATGAATGCCTATTCCAATATTTATACTAATAAACAAAAAAGAATCCTGGATTATAAATTGTTCTTAAGGATAATATAATTAATTGAATAGTTTAAAAAAAACCGTATATTACTTTAATTTCCTATTAAACTAAAAACGACATCTATTGGGATCACAGAAATTAACCACTCTCAAATATAGTTATAGATAAACACGCATTAAGCCAAATTTAATTAACAATTATATATAAAAGTAATATTTACGTAAAGTTAAAGCTGTTCGTAACTCCTTTAGAAACTGTGAATACCAAATTTAAAAAAAAACAACCTACCTTATAGAGTAAAAAATTAAAAGTCGTAAACACTTGTTGCAAACTGTTATTGGCACTTCGTCGAAGTAATGTGTTGCTTTGAAAGGCTGCAAAACTTCTCAAGCAAACACTCTGGAAGTTTATCTCTAATCTACAAGTTGATAGACTACAGCCGGTAGCTTTTGAGATTTGAAAAATCAAGATTGTTGTTTTAAAGTTGTACCTACCAAAGTCGTACATTTTTTTTTAATTTGCTCTTTCTTAGATTAAACTATTATATGATTGATTTATTACATATTGTGATTTTACAGGAAATACTCAATAATTTAGAAAAAAAAGCAAACTGAAAATACTAGGCTCACGTTATTGTGTACATCGCTTTCTGTCAGTTAGACATCTTAATTTATAATTAAAATTTAGGCTAAAACCAGAGCCCTTCAGTATCAAATATCTAAGTGTACGTTTTATTTGTATATAGTAAAGAAATCAATCAAAGTGACCTACAAAGTCTGGAGTTGTTTTTTTAATAACACATTTTAATAAAAACCGTGATCCTAACGTAATTAAAATCAGAAACATCGATATTATAAGTATTATATAAATTCTCTTTTGGGTTCGTACGAATTTTATCATCTTCATTTTCGATTTACAAGTTCTTTAACCGGTACTGAATATAACCAAAACAACCATAAAAAGTTATGCTTCGATCTTGGTTAAGTAACGTTTCGAGAAAAAAAATTAATAAAAATAATGTTCCAACTATGAATTTCAAAATATAAATTAAAACTCACAACGTCGATGAGCTGACTCAGCCTAAGTCCCATCTTAACCGTGAGCCGATCAGAGTTGTTCCCCACAGGGCGGATCAGGCGATTGTAGTTGGACAGCAAATCGTCATATAGCCGCTTCGCTTCAGGGTTTGCGACGCTCAGGCGGCCCCACACGCACAGGACTCCGACCACCAGCGCCAACACCATCTTAGGCTAACACCACCCCTGGAACAAAGACAAATTCTTTTTATTTCTTATCACGAATCCAATCTATTGAATTACTATTACGGCACAAAATAAACGTAACTTCACGATATATAAACTTAAACAGCTTGGAATAGCCACCTACAATTTTTACTAACAGTATGTGGCCTTAACATGTTTTATGGTATACATATAAACGGGCCACTTGATGGTAGGTGTTGTCCATAAACACAAAGAACACAAGCCCCCCCTCCCCCCTAGAATTAGGAACGACGGGTCTCCTCACTTAACCCGTGAAAAGCAACAAAAAAAACCTTAACCCCGGTTTTCTGTGAGGCAGTGGTATTACTCCGTTCGAGTCGACTCATTTGTACCGAAGCATATCTTTCCCTCCTTGTCAATAAACCTGTTGTTTCTATGTTGCTTAAAAAGCAATTTATATTAATCCCTAATTGACATATTTAATCATTACGCCGACAAATTATAACGAAGATCCAGTGTCAAAGTTTTTAACGTCCATAAAATCTTTACTAGCAGCACAACAACACAAGAAGTAAGTATGAAACTTTTTCAATTAATTTTAATATCGTTTACATCTTCTGCTACAGAAAATAATTACAATTATTTTTCCTTGTGTAACTTTAAATAATTTTTTTCCTCGTTCAAATTATGTTCCTGGGTTTGGGTAGTCCTAATTGCTGATTACTTGTTTTTATTTATAATTGCTGACCGACATTATTAAATAAATTAAAAAATCTTCTAAGATGAAATCTATTTATTTTATAAATATCATATTCTGGAGCAGTTAAAACTTGTACTCGTGTGATAAAGAGAGAGAATCACTTATGGGACTACTTGACCAAATTTACTTCACGTCACCACGACTTCACAAAAAAAACTGATCTCAAGCAATTCTTTGGTTGGTTTTCACCCATTTCTGAGGGCCTAGTGTGAGTTTATTTCACATCAACTCTCTGTCGACGGCTAGCGCGTTTAGCGTAGCGATTGGTAAAGATTTTAGTGTTGGCCCATTGCAACGCCGAACGCGCCTACCATGACGATCGAATTAATGTGAAATAAGCGCACACTACAGGCCTACAGGGCTCTAGTGGGAAAGAGCACTCAAAGGGTGGCTACGCATTTCTATCTTTTGAGTTTCGGGTGTCCATGGACGGTGGTTTGGCACTTTACCCGAAATTTCCGTTCTAAATAATCTATTTTTATTTGATATTTCCTTTATCTGTAATCAAAGATAAAGTACATGAAATGGAGCATATTTATAACGTGTCTAAATATTTCTTGGTATATACTTATTGGTTACAATACCATCATTTATGTAATATTAAAAAATTATTAAACTGGCCTGTTGGTCTAGTGGTTAGTGACCCTGACTGATACGCCAGAGGTCGACAAATCATTGTGTGATGAGCACGATTATTTTTTCTGTGTCTGGGTGTACTTTATCTATAATATGTATGTATTTAGAAATGTATAAGTATGTTTATCAGCAGTCTGGTTACCATAGTACTGGCTCTGCCTAGTTTGGGATCAGAGAGAGACGTGAGATGTGAAAAAATTTAAAACGAAAATAGTACTATATAGAGTATATAAAAATATAGAATAAGTTGGACATAAAATATAAATAAAATAAAATATGAAATCTAATAAATTGTATTCTTTCTTACTCAATTTCAGTCCCATATAGGTGGTATTACTTCGTGAAGTTGGAATGGAACCAAACAAACCCTGAATTAAGAAAAAAGTGAATCGGTTTTTGAAAAAGGGAATTCTGAGGCGTCAGACAAAAAATACTCCTTTTTTTTAAGTTGGTTAAAAAAAGTTTATTAACTGTGCACAATTAACAGCAATATAAAACCACCATAATTAAATTTAAATATAATTAATGTATTATTACTAGAAACTGAACAATTGTTTTCAGTTCTCCATTTATTTGAAATGAACTCATTTATAAAGCAGCTTTCGCGTTCGTTCTTAAGTTATGATTTAATTGTAAATATTCAGGCTCTTACAAAGAGTTTAGTATCATTAATTAACAGGTATTTCCGATTTGGGAGCCATTACAAAACTTAAATTTGAGATTATAATCAAAGTAATATTCGAGGCGTACTTTTAAGGGCTTAATTTTAAACTTTGTAATTATAATGGAATAGCAGTAACAAGTTAGTTGTTTATGTTTCAGAGCGATGATCCGCAGTTAAATGTTTTAAGACTTGTTTAAGAGTGTAAGGAAATTGACTTGATATTTATAATCTTGACACTTGAGTATTTTTCATGCCGGCTTTCGATCTTCGTAGATTGGTTTATAGCCTTTAATAATCCATTGCTGGATATCGGCCCCTCCTTAGAAAGGAAGTTTTGGCCTATTATACCACGCTGGTCAGACGGGTTTTCATAGGGTTAGTTTCAAGTTTTCCTTCTATTTGCAGTTCTGTTGTCCTGCGTAGTTTGTTGGATGTAGGATGGACAACGGTGGTGAGACTGCGTATTCTTAATCTGTCACTTGAGTTGGTTAGTTGGTATAATATGTGCAATTTATTGTTATCTTTTCATGAATGAATGTCTTTTTTGACACAAACAGTTGATTATACAAACTTATTTCCGGAAGTCGATTAAAAATGATAAAATGAACTATTCACAAATATTATATTTCCGTGATTGATTGAATCAAAATATTATAAACACAACACAAAAAAGTCAGTCTACTTCGTTGAACAGCTTAAAGGCTGAATTGATCATCATTTTTTTTTTTAATTACTTATAATAATATTTCAGCACATTTATTTTATCAAAATTTAACAAAGCTTTTAATATGGCTTTTAGAAATCAGAAATTTTTTACTTATTTTTTGTTAACACAATTTTATACTTTGTGCTGATAATTTTCCATAGGTGAAGGACATTTTCAATGCAATTGGTAAGAGGCAAGTTGACCGAGTCGGACCCGGATTACGGTCAAAGTCAGACTTAATTACTGGATAAAGGAGGATAAGCCACAATAAAACGTACCCCTATAAATCAATCTGCCGTAACTTAGATAAAACTAAAGAGCTCGGATACTGAGTCCCCGGCGGCAAGGAATGTGCGTTTTATGTACTGTTAGTTAATAAAAGATATACTATGTTTTTACTGTTAATGTTTTGTTTATCCTAAACAGTCTGTTTTCAACGAGAAAGTGAGTTTACCGGAGCTTCTAGGAGGAGGACTCTAACGGTGGTAACGTATTTGTGACTCTTGAGGTGTTCATGAGCGGCAGTACTTGCTTACCATCAGGTGACTAGTCTGCTCCTTGGCCCTTCCATGCCACAAAAATAGTTTCTCACATGGAACAATGCTTTATGTAATCCAAGAATTGTTGTTCTGAGTCTTGGTGTTCTTTGTGTCCGTTTTATATTTGTTTGTATTGTCCCCTGTGACACTGGATATATTCCTTGCGCAGGAGTTGGAGGAGAAGTCCAAATTATCGCGTCTAAAATATGACATAAACCCTGTGCCTTAATTAAAACTAATAGGGTCATCATATTTTATTGGGATAAAAAACCTGACAAAGTGTAGGCATTTCATATCCTTTTTTTTTTTGTTGATGGACTGGAAAATCCCTTCGGATCTCCGGCTCCTCGGGGACATAGGAGATCCTAGACAAATGTTTACATTCGAAAAACCTTGTTATATTTATTATGTTCGATATACTTGTATTTATGAGTATACTTAGAACATGCTATATACACATAAAAATGCTATATAAAAAATCGTATTACTAGCTCTCAATTATCCACAAGTGGGTAAATCAAATTCAAAAAAGAAATTAAGTATGTATTTATAAAAATATAGCTATCCTTTTATGTACTGAACACACTTCTAAACACAACGGGGTATGTTTAAGTAATTTTATTTACATTAAACATATCGTGCGGTGGGATCTTGCTAACGACCGCGCCAAACCGTTATAACACTCTAACACCGGGTATCTTCTACAAATAAACAGTTTCAGTAACGTTTTTTGTTTGTTACCAAAAACCATTATCTGGTACACCGTCAACTGAAGGATTTTGTATATTTATTGTGTAGATATTCTCGTGTTATATGATGCGAGTAGAGAATTCTTATGTGAAATGTAATATTTGGACATTTTATTTGTGTAATCATTTTTCTCACGTTTTTACCGCTTCTTGTAAGGATTAAGTAGGTAAGGCCTTGAAGATTATTGGAAGTAATCTTCTTATTTAACAGATCAAAGGTTTTAATTAAAATATTATTATTAAATTCAGCTTACACTTTAAGCAACTATACTTTTTTCTATGTAAACTGTTTTTATTAGGCCCTACTTTTATTTTTACAATTAAAAGACATATATATTAAATATCGTATAAGCGTACTGTAGAGTTGTATACCGTTTTTATGTAACGTAATTCTTTTAGAATAAACAGACTAATTAGTGTTTAATTTTACTTTTTATATCATTTTAAGGCGTTCTGTTGTATAAACTCCCACAGACAATATCGAATTACACGTTAACCACTTGACTTTTAAACCAAATTTACCTTATTTATTTTTTATGATAACTTCCGTCTAAATAATATATAAGTGTTAGCACATTACACGAGCATTGTTTTGTTACAACTATGTATGTCACCTAATTAACAGTGACTCCAATCAATTCCTTACTTATTATTGTGATATTTTTATAATTGCCGTAATAATTGTACTAGTTGGCCAAATCTCTGTTTGAATGTGTAACTGACTGATAACATATAACTGACGCAATTTACTAACAAGAACAGTCATAAAGTAGTATCTGAAACCACAACAGTAGTTTTACTACATAGGTTAATCCAATATATCTATTTGCATATAATTTATTTATTTATTATCTAAATCTGCATACTTATTAACAGCTCTACTTACCTATTAAAACTAGTTATTCTCGTTGCTCTAGTTAGATATAACTAAAGCAGATCATTTCAATTGCTTAAAAAAATGTTTTGT